CTGGGTTGGCCCCTAAAACCCTTTCATAAAAATTAGTATATAGGGTCCCTTATTAAAGCCATTAGGGAAAATGTTAAATATCATAGGGGCCTGCCCAGCCCTTCTGCAAAGGAAACATATCACTGGCAACAAGGCATGGAACCAACACTTCCAACCCGTGACCGTGAAATCTTTACGTAGACCAGGGCTGGTGATACTGTTGATACTAAAAATCCTGCATGTCCTTAGTATACTATAGTACCATTATTCCCAAGGTTTTAAGGTATTTAGGGTCATGCAGGATTTTTAGTATCCACCGTAATAAAAGATCGATGGAATCCTTCTACTGGGATGCTGATTTTTGGGATTTGGCTAGGTCAGGCTATAGAGTCCAGAGTTTTGTGCTTGAGGGTCTAGGGTTGGTCTAGGGTTGAGCAAGTTAAGGGTGTTTTGGTTCGAGGGATTGCGTCAGAATTAAGGACAGGCTAGGCATTGTACCCTAAACCCTAAATCCCAAACCCTAATCCCTAAACCCTGTGCGCCTAGTATGACTAGCGGATGATTCTCAGAGCTGACAACGCCGATTATCACAGGAGCCACTGTCTAAACTCCTAGTATCCCCCCTAATAACCCCTATAATAGTCCCCTATAGAATCCCCAAGATAACCCCCTGTAAGGAGCGTAGACCATGGCTCACATGAAGGGTTCCGAAGGTTTCCTTAAAAGGGCGACAAGTACTGGGCATGCCAGTTGAATAATGTTTCCTTGGTGCTGGAACCAAGCAGGGTTCTTACAACAAGCTTCAGCCCAAAGTGAATATAATCTTCATCTCTATCTTGCATGATGGAACCCCCATTGGAATCACTACACAGGTGAGCTGGGGATGGATGGCTGGGTTCTGGGTCTTCGGTGTAATGACGAAGTCAAGTTTCCCTTGAGAAGAGTACGGTCTACGCGTCGAGTCTCCCAACAAGAGGCACATGGTCTGCTTACTGGTTAGGATGCACAATTTGGAATATATATATATATGTGTATATATATACACCCAACAATGGGAAATCAAATCAAAATGACTTTTATGAAGTAGGGGCCCCTGTAATGGGGGCTACATCACCTAAGAATCTTATTGGGGTCCCCCTCTGGAAACCCTCATACGTGCCATGCAAGAAGCGGGACTCAGAACACTAATTTCGCGGACACCAAAAGCCTAGACTACATCCCCACGAAACATCCGGCAAGGCTATCTTACCGACTTGCATGGTGGGAATACTCTGCTCCGTAAATCCTACACTGAACTCCACCCAACCCACTCAGTATCCCGATATAGAAACCCCAGGATCCTGAAGGATCCTGCATTGAAATTATGGGGGCCCCTTTTGAAGACATTGTGTTGATTACTCCAAGAACTCCCAGTGACTCTGCAGACTTCTCAAGGAAGCACCCGATGCCTCGAGTCTTGCTACTGTACCACGTGCAAGTGGTAGGATCTATGTGATAGTTCTTGTAGCATGCATGAGTTTCAGGCGGTACGGATTGAGGAATTGCTGGGAATTTCCCTATATGCTTCATGGGTACTGTAATGCGCGTGCACTTGATTTGTTCCGTTCGAAGAGGGGCCTCCAAGACTCTAAGACTTCAGAAGCAGCCAAACCAAAGCAAGCTTGGCTCCGACATTGGGCTCTGGGCTACCGTTCATTCCGCACTTTGGCATGATCTCTTCAGCAGCTTTTGTAGTAAGAGCCCGAATGCGTAAGCTTTTTTCAACAGAGACAACATCCTTCGTCGAACCTACAAAACGTAAGGTCACGAACCAAAACACGTGCTGGAAAGCAGCAAGGACACTGTCAATCCCTTGTTGGGTAAGAGACTCGTCTTGCTGGTCGATGCATACGACGTCCAGGAAGCAGACATCTGAGTAGCGATCCCGTTTTCAAGAACCCTATGAAGGGACACGGGTCAAAGTTTACAGTAGGGTTACAGGTCAGTAGACGCAGCCACCTGTGCTGGGGTACTGATATGAGCTACGGGTCTACACTAAGGTCTCGGGTCCCCAGCCATGGAAAAGGGGGTCCAGGCTTCCGTTTCTCATCTCCTTCTCAATTGAAGACTCCTCCTCAAGAAGTCAAGAAGAGCAAAACAAAAACCAGACATGCCATTCTCGCGGTTTAAAGCTCCTGTTTCGACGTCCTCCCACCGCAGCCATGGTAACAGGCAGACACCGGTGAGACAGTTTGGGGCGCAGCATTAAGTTGCCATTCTTTCACCCATGCCCATGATGCGAAAAATAAAAGCCTCCTCGCAGTTTTGAGAAGCAGCTTTCATTGACTCTTGGATCCACAGTGCCATGATTACTCTCCCAATCCTCTTGGCCTGAGGTTGAAAATATGGCTCATCGTTTTTAAGACCCTATCAACAGCAGTTAAAAAGCCCAGTGCAGTCCCTCCCCAAGGCTGAGAAAAGCCCTTGTTACAGCGGCATATGCTTTGGCCTGACGGTTTTTTACCTTGAGACCTTCCCACAGACCATAAGGTTCCAGGGGTTTTGGGGTAGTAAAGAGAACCCTATTATGATTAGTATTCTTTGTTGTTGTTGTTGTAGTTAGTAGTAGTAGTACTACTACTACTACTACCAGTAGTAGCAGTATATAAGAAAAGANNGTAGCAGCAGCAGCAACAGTAGTAGCAATCATAAGAATTAGAATAATGGTACTTGGGTCCCTCTGTCAAAACCCTTTACATACACAGGACAACAGTAATAGCGGGCGCAGCACGCAGGGCCCAAGTCCCCAAACATTACATGTTCAGGAACAAGTTGTCAAGTAGTAAATGTACTAACCTCTTCGATCAACAGATATATGTATACATATATACA